TAAGCCCCACCGTTGTAGTCGTAATCAGCTGTTTCACCAAAAACATTTGTTTTTAACCAAAAACCAGAGAAATTTAGCTATTTGATAAAAGAAACACTTCAGTGATCCAGTGACTCAGATCGTGTGACCTATTTTGCTTTGCTGCCCGCACACCCACTCTGTGAAAATGAGCAGATACACTGGCCCTCTGGACTTGAGCAAACCCACCCGCCTCCGCTATCCCCCACACTTTTGTGCTTGGTTGAGGGAATCACCGCACATCCATAACGCACAAACGAGCAGAGTGTATGCAGATGGCAGTGAGACGTGTCATATGATTGCTATCGTGCGATCATACAGTTAGTCAAATTTTGATATTATCGGGGTACTACGTTTGTCCTGCATATCATTCCAAATCCACAAAAACATATCATTGTCAATAAATCAATAAATAATGACCCCCAAAATTTGCGGGGGAGGGTGAGTCAAGGGGTTGCCAATTGCCATTCCCCGATGTCTTTTGCATTCTAGTGTGCGACTACTGCGGCACCGGCGACCTGTACACTTACTGGCAGATGATCGGACTCTTCGCCGAAGACACGGTGCGGGTGTTTGCCGCCGAGCTGGGCTGCGCGCTGGGTGAGCTCATAATTCACGTTTGGAGTCGTCATCATAATGACGGTCAACCAATTAAGGCAAACGGCAGCTCGCTTGGTGAGACGCTGAATGTGGAACAAGTTTGTTCATTTTTGCTCTTTTTTTTTTTTTTTGTCCTATCAGGATTTCTTCACGATTTTGGTGTCATTCACAGAGATGTGAAGGTATTCTTTTTTTTTGCCAGCACATCAGCCACCCTAGTGAGGAGAAACGCAATAGAAAGCGGATTGATAAATGTTACATATCTCTCATTTCCTTCCAGATGGAGAATATCCTGCTGACAGATAGTGGTAAGTCAACATGCCCAGCAGAGGGCAGCCATGTGCTGTTTTATAAATGTCCAGAATCTTTCAGAGAACATCCTGACATCCGCTCAGTACTCATCGATAAGAATGACGAATGGAAAGTTAAAAAAAAAAACAAATAAAAACGTGTGTGTCCACTTTAATGATTCATTTGGATTAATGGTACGTTCCAGGACATCTCCGTCTGGCAGACTTTGGTTTGTCCCGTCGCTTGGAGCGAGGAGGGCGGGCTTTCACCATCTGCGGTACCATTCAATACATGGGTGAGGAACATTCCGGCACGTTGTTTAATTCCATGAATGATGAATTTAAGGGCATTGTTGTGAGCGCGCTCTGTCCGCACCGCAGCCCCCGAGGTGCTTAGCGGCGGTCCCTACAATCACGCGGCCGATTGGTGGTCGCTGGGAATCCTGCTCTTCTCGTTGGCTACCGGCAAGGTGATCAGAGAATGACTTTCCATTCTGGTCAGAGAATTATTCGGAATGGTGTTGATGCTTGATGTTCAGTACGAATTTCTCCTCAGTTCCCCCTGCCTCCAGAGCAGGACCACTGTGGCATGCTGAGGAGGGTGAGGTCTTTTCCCTACGAAATGCCCCTCAGCCTGAGCCCCCCTCTGGCCATGCTCATCACAGAGGTGAGTGCAATTGCTAAGCGGCGCCTCCCTCCTGGGCTATTGACACATTCATGCCGTTTCTCTGTGCAGCTGCTGTGCAAAATGCCCGCACGCCGACTTCGCACCCTGGATCGCTTCCAACGCCAGACCTTCTTCCGTGGACTCAGCTTTGACCAAAACCTGCTGCAGCGCCACCCTGTGGAGGTAACTGAACGCCAAACGGGGGACTCACACGCCTCATGGTCTATGAATTTTCCTGAATGGTTGCGTTGCAACACGGCGAGCCCTGCAACGGATAGCAAAATCTGCGAATAACGGCCCCTCTATCGCAGGTGATTCTGGAGCTGAGGGAGCGCCCCGACCGTGCCGCCAAAGCCCGCCGAGGCCTCGCGCTTTCACTGCAGCCGTTCAACGGCTTCGATTACGACTCAATACTTAGTCCGCCGAACACGCCTGACGCGCAGCTGCAGGGAGCCGCCCCGCGTCGGGAGGTGTTTGTTTGACTCTGAACGCCAACAATCATGACAGCTTGCAACAGTACGGTACAGACTTCCCAAGGCTTCTCTTGACAAAATGGCTGGTCCATACCTACAATGGCCGTATGTCCTCCATTGTTGTTTACTGTGTGGCCGTACGCTACACTCACTTTCAGGTTTACCCTTTCACAATGTTACATGCTGAACTGGACCGCTGACCCGATCTGCAGAAAGAATGTCAGGGACCCATGTCTGAAATTCAATGGGAAGTCAGGAGGACATATTTGAAGCAGCCATTTTGAAGCAAATTCCAGGCCTCCGACTTGGATGAACTCAGGCAATGTCATTTGCCCAAATGACTCCTGAATGAACCTTCTTTATGGGGGCTTCAACATGCCTGTAAACTGAAGAAAGGGAAAAAAAATCAACTACAAATATCCTGGTCTAAATGTGTGAATTTACAATGTCATTTGCCCAAATGACTCCTGAATGAACCTGCTTTATGGGGGCTTCAACATGCTCCCACAAAGAAACTCCCACTACAAATATCCTGATGTAAATGCATGAATTTGAGGAGTCCCTCGTACAACACGCAGCATTTAGTAGCGCCTTCCTGAGCACGATACTTCATGCACTGAGAGCACTCAAAGAGAACTTTTCCAAACCTTTTGTGTTTGCACAAAGAAACGCTATTGTTTGTGGACTTCAACGCTGCCTGTCGATATGCTGCAACTGTGGTTACGTAAAGAAAGGTCACGCTAGCTGAAGACAATGCGCCCTGTTTTGTTTTATTTGTGTGTGTAGTCACTTGTGCAAAGAAACCTGTTTTCCTGAATGATATTGACTCACACCACTGTATATACATCGGATAAAGAGCATTTTGTATTGCTGCCTCCTGTATGTACCCGAATGCCCCACGAGTGATCCTGAATTTTGTTTTGTTACAAGAATGCTTCTATATATACACACACACAGACACGCTTTAAAACCAAAGTCCCCTCGATATAAAATTTCCAAGAGAGTTTCATATGTTTACATGTCTTTTTGAACATTAAATGATCTTACTCTGCTGCTTTTGTCATTGGGATTGTGAGAAACGCCTGATTGGAGCACATTTCAACATGCGGGTTGACACACCAGTCGTTGCCCAACGCAGTCACTCTGATGACATGTGGGCGGAAAGATTAGATTCAACCCTGCACGCTGACATCCAGTGCAAACGTTCTGTCTCTGGAATACAAAATATTTTTTCACAACATCATCTCTCAAATCACTTTACATATCGTTGTGAACATTTTCAGAAAACAAGAGGGGACAAAAATCACCTACCAAACTAGTAGAGTTGCCTATATTCAAATGAATGAAAGCAGAGGTAATGTGTTGGTTGCTGTTATAGGTGGCATTCAGCCATTGAAGCTAACACAAAAGGCATCTATCACTCGTGAAAATGGGAAAAACAAGATGCCTGGATTTAAGACTGTGTCATGGTGAATTTATTTAGACAGTCTCGTGAGCCAAAACATTAGGAACAGCTATGCTTGTGACGCAATGCAGTTGTGCGCCACAATAAAACAACCAATCCAACACACGTGCTCAGAGTCAATAAAAATGCCGTATGTACGTATTTTATTTGTATAAAACTACTTAATGTGCTGGTATTTATTAAATTGCCCCGGTGTTAAATAGACCGTAGTTTGTACTACATTTTGAAAAGGTCTCATAGCGCATAGCTTCCCGAAGAAGTCAACTTCCCCACCCACCCCATTGATGGACGATGCTCCGCTGCTCATGCGCACTAGCTACCTTCCTGCCTCCGTTATGACGCAGTGCCCTCTCCGCCCCGCCCCTTCCCAGCTTCCCGAGGGTTTTGTAAAGCGTCACGTCGCTCTGCAGCTCAGTCGGTTTCCGCACTGAAGCTCGGCATCCTCCACCGTCGACCTCTTCTCTTAACTTCGCACGTCCTCCCACAAGCCAGGTAAAGGAAACGACATATCTATCTGACCACAGCGGTGAAGCGCCATTTTGTTCCCCCCCGTCGTGATGCTGCACCTTCATCCTACCTAGCTTAGCTTTTCTACTGTGAATCCTCTAGCGACAACCCTCACAAAAATGTCTCCGTGTGTCAATACGAGTCAATATCTGTTGACGAAACGTTTGGTGTGTGCGCACCATCGCACTAGGGCGAAAACGAGATGACCTTCAAGGATGACCAGGCAGCCTGTTGCGTCGTCGTAAACAAGGTGCGCGTGCTCGCTAGTGTTGGTCCAGCTATACTAGTGCTCGTGTGTGTCCGCGCGTGCACGTTTGATGTACACGAGAAAGGGATGGCGTGCGCGTGAGCGTGTAGCTGTTCCCGAGCACGTAGACATCCTTGGTGGAGCGGGGGCGGGGCCAACTGCACATCCTGTACTTTCCCATACTGCACAACGAATACAAATGCTATTCATTTCAGTGTTAAGAATTGGTGATGCGATAAATAATTGTATAAAAGAGCAATTGTAATTATAGATGGCGTTTTAATGAATTCATAAAATTCGATTCCCCCCATTTCAACAAATTTGAGTCATTGTCATGCATTTCCTCGTTAATTTAACTCTTCTTGAAAGAGTAGGGCACTTATTTTGCAAATATTATTAGTTTCTTCTGTTTTGACTGCCTTTCTTTTCTGAGACTTTTCTTCACCTTGATAAAATATAACTTAGTCTGCATTCTGATAATGCTATTAATGTTTGTCCAAAAATGGATCTGGTAACATTGTGGCTTTGTATCTCTTGAAAATCTCTTTAAAAAATTGTAGCTTATTATCTGGTAATATTAAGACTTTATTTCTCGATGAATTATTCTAATCAGTGTGAGCTAAAGATTTTCTTAAATGACACAAAGCCTGAAGTGACTTGCATTCTTTCTAAAGCAATTTACAAACAGGTAAAAACAAAAAAACCTTATTACTGGATACTGTGTGACGATAAATTTGGAAAAGTTGTCTGAGCCCACTATGAGCTGTATAAAAGGGGCTATTAAATCACCTGCCCCTTCCTGATGATTGCTGAGACAATATGGCGACACAGGCGGCCATTTTGAAAGATCCGCTCACAAGTCATTGCTTCAGAATTAATTGTGTGTGTGTGTGTGTGTGTGTGTGTGAGTGTGTGTGTGTGAGAGAGAGACACTTTGCCTCCCAAAACAAGGCCCAATACACCATGGGTTACTTTAGCAATACATTTCCATGTTCAATTTCTTTAGTCAGCAAACTAGCGGACTGGTGAATCAGCAGCGCCCCCACTGGTCTCGACAACGTATTGCACGCCATTTTGCCCCGTTTTGCTACAAAACACAATGACTCAGTGGTCACAAAATCGGTTCCTTCTTAACAAATATCTCACAAGGTTGGTAGATCCACCATTTTGTTGGTTTAAGATGTTGATTTTCTGAACACTTTGAAGCAAATGATACATCTTAAAAGACATTTGCCGAAGGTGTGTGCGATTGTCGATCCATGGCAGAATTTTTTTTCTAGTTCATTTAAGCATTATTTTCTGTTAAGGTGATGTCACAGTGTGGCGGGGGTGAGGAGGAGACCACTGTCGATGTCGCAGTGCAGAAATGGCGACTAAGCGCTGTGCAACAGGCTGCGACCGGCGGTCCCCCCACCCCCCGCCCCACTCCTCTCGTGACGCTGCGGATGGCCCCGCGTCGTGTGGCTTGTTTATATCATGACATTGAAGGTCTTTTCCCTGAGAGCTCACACATTCTTGGAATTTACTGCATGTTTTCTCGTGGAAAATTGTACAAATATTTTAGAGGTCTCAAAGAAGTCACACATTGTTGTTGGGGTTTTTTTTTTTCCTTGTGTGTCCATGCGATGCCCTGAAAGCTCTCCCAGTAGTGCCCCCTTAAAAGTAAAAAATATAAAAATTCAAAATTAGCCTTCCAGTAGTGCCCCCTTAAAAGTAAAAAATATAAAACAAATTCAAAATTAGCCCCTGAAACTAGTTTCACCTTAGCACACCTGTCATAACCGGACATCTGACAAAATCTCGAGGAACCATGCCCGACATCGAACAATAAGTCGGCAACCGTCATATTGGCCGCCGCAATCACGGCTTGGAATTGTCACTGTTAACTTCTCGGTTGCGTTTGGAAATTGCAAAAGATTTTTGCCAACCCCTTTGAGCGCATACACGACTCCATGCTTGACAAAAGATGGCCACTATTTGCTGAGCGTGCGCTTCCTCTGGGCGAACGCCGCCTTTTGTTCGCCTTTTATCGAGTGTAAACACGCGGCTGCGACCTCTTCGCGTTCACCTGCATGTGTTGTTACCTCACAACGCTCCCTAAGCCGAGGATTAGCAAGCAGGGCCCTTTGGCCGGCCTCCAGGCCCGACTCACTTTGTCAACCCGTCGGTGCGCACGGTTCTTTTTGTGCTGCTCGGCTCATTGTTTTCACATGAATGCGCCCCTCTGTGTGGAACTCCATGTGGAAGTTGACTGGACTGGAAAATAGTCCAAACTCGAGCACAAGTGTTAACGTTGTTAGCAGTCTGGACAGGGAAAAGAGAAGCTATCCACTGAATAACAAACGGAATCAAGTAAAGTAAAAGCTTTGCTTAGGTACAATACTGTAAAAAAAAAAAAAAAAAAAAAAAAACATATTTTTTTTTACATTTAGACTGTGGTTTATTTTGAGCTGTTTTGTTTAATTCTATTATGCCCGGTGTAAAATGAGCACGTACTCGCATGAATTGCGACACACGCCTCTTCAAACGTGTAGCAGACGTTTTAGTGTGGTCCCCTGAATTAAGAGTTTAATTTCATCTGTGACCATGCCTTTTCCCTGTAACTCAAATCACTCACCTCTCAAATTAGCTATCTCCATTGAAACAAATGGAAATGCCTTTAATCCGTTCCAGAAACCCAAGCCCCTCCCCCCACAAATGTTTAACTTGTTTTAAAAAAACAAAAATTTCACTCTACGTTGTAGTAATTTATAAATATATACAGGAATAACATAATTGAAAAGTATTTAAAGAATACAACCATTTTTAGCTCATGATAGCATTAAGCTAGGAGACGTTCGTCTAACACAGTTGTTTTCTTCAAATACTCGGCCTGTAAATTTTCCTCTTGTGTTAAGTTTTACGATAGACTTTAGCTAACAGTGACTGTACTTTCACACTTTCGTTGCGAAGTTTGCTGCCTCCATCTCGATTCCAAATGCTTGGGTGTTATCAGCGACCTCCTTTACAATAAGCGGCGTGAAAGTGAAATGAAAGAGCAAATAAGATTGAATGAATGGTGTGGGGGGAGACAGTCAGTTGGCGCCGTTGCTGAGGAGAGCTCGGCGAGCCCGGCAGCATCTCGTTACATAATGGCTCCACCTCGGTCTGCTTGTGCAGCAGAGCGCTTATGTAATCAATTATTTACAGCGGGGACAAGCGGTGAGAGGCGAGCGATGACGGGATGGAAAGCGTGCTCGCCGGCACGTCCCGACTGCTTGCTGGCTCCAACCAGACGGTGTGTCAAAAGTGGCCTTTTGGGGAACGCTCAGTTCGGTTAGAGCAGCTGGCGCCGCGGCGGCCATATTGGATTGGTGAGATAAAGCTGTTGAGGATCAAGTCCTTGACCTTCCCCTGCGTCCTGTGTGTTTGTTTTCAGCCACCATGACTCACCAGTTCCCCGCACTGACTCCTGCCCAAAAGAAGGAGCTGCAGGACATCGCCCTGAGGATCGTGGCCCCCGGCAAGGGCATCCTGGCTGCCGATGAGTCCACCGGTATGCTTTGGTTGTTATGGTTTTAAAACGTTAGCGTCGATGCTATACCTGCATCAAGTTTTGCGATTTCATGGCAACAACAGCCATTAAAAAACAAGCGGAATGGAAAATGTCAAAACGCGGGACTTCAAATTCATAGTCTTTTTTAATTTATAATCATGCTAATTAGTACTGCATGACAATCTTCATACATACTCTTTTTATACATTGTCTGTTGATCAAATTCACAATTTGACAGTCGTACTTTTTGAACCACCCTGCTACTGTAAAACTAACAAAGCAATAGAATTAAACACCAAACGTATCAATTTGGCCAACAAAAGTCCACTAGCTTGATGCTAACATATCAAGCGAAATGCCATACATGGGCTATTGGAAACTAGCGTAAATGTTCGGGTAGTTGTAAACTATGGACACCATGTGGAGGACACGCAGGGGCAGAATGTAGTACGACACTGAAGACACCTAAACATAAAACGTAGCATGTGCTGTCAATAGGGTTTGAGCACGACTGGTTAAAAAGGCGATTAAATTGCATCCAAGTGCCACGGGGGCGCTCGCTCAGTAGTCACCGGGGTGTGTGTGTGTGCGTCGCGTCGCTTCCAGGCAGCATGGCGAAGCGCTTCACCCCCATCGGCGTGGACAACACGGAGGAGAACCGCCGGCGCTACCGCCAGCTGCTGTTCACGGCCGACGAGCGCATCGACAGCTGCATCGGCGGCGTCATCTTCTTCCACGAGACGCTCTACCAGAGCACCGACGACGGCACGCCCTTCTCCAAGCTCATCAAGGACCGCGGCATTGTCGTCGGCATCAAGGTGCGCGCTCAAAATGGGCGCAGGCGCTATTTTTGTCCATTTTGTCTTTCCGTGGGTCGACTCTTGAAGGGGAAACGCACACTCTGCATGTTTAGGGACACACACACACACACACACACACACACACACACACACACACACACAAACTCTCTCACCGTGTTGTGTCAACACGAGGTCTGGTTTCAAGAGGAGTCTGTTCGTCACATCGATCTCATTTGGCCCCTGTAATATTTGTTGCATTGTTTATTTGCCAAAAAATGCTTCATTCAAATTTAGTCTGTGAATTAAAAATAATTGATTTGTTCTAAATAATAATGAAAAATGACACAGGTATTTCATTTTTTATTTGAAGGGCCACATTTGAGCAAATAAAATGTGAAGTGTGTAAAATGGTGAATTTTATTAATGTAAATTAAAATTATATGTGGCCCTCGGGCACAGTTTCCACACCTGTGAACAAAAGTGACTTTTTTTTTTTTTTGTTTGTTTTGCAGGTGGACAAAGGTGTTGTTCCCCTCGCCGGAACCAATGGCGAGACCACCACTCAAGGTTGGGGCGGCGACCTGCGGCGCATCACACAGACACACCGTGATCCAAAGTCTTCAGTTCTTTGACTTGCCGAGTCGAATCTTTTCTGTGTCACAGGTCTGGACGGTCTGTCGGAGCGCTGCGCCCAGTACAAGAAGGACGGCGCTGACTTCGCCAAGTGGCGCTGCGTGCTGAAGATCAGCGAGACCACGCCCTCCGAGCTAGCCATCTTTGAGAACGCCAACGTGCTCGCACGCTATGCTAGCATTTGCCAGCAGGTTGGTGTTTTTTTAATTTTATTTAATTTTTTTAGGGGCGGTGGAATTGGTGTTTTTGTGACTGCATGATTTAGACAACAACAATTGCTTTCAGCACAAAAGAGACATGACCAGGGCCGACTCTAGTTTAGAACGCCAGATTGTGATGGCGGACGCTTACAGTCAGATAGTTTCATGCCGCCGTCGCTGCCAGTCGTTCTGATAACGGTGTCGATTGTTTCACCATCGAGAGTTTTCACATTTGCAATTTCCAGTCACGTTTGCCTTTAATTGCAGAACGGCATCGTTCCTATTGTGGAGCCAGAGATCCTCCCCGACGGCGATCATGACCTGAAGCGCTGTCAGTACGTCACCGAGAAGGTAATTGCCAAAGAAATTTCCTAATTTGAATCGGAAAATCAATTTTGATGGAAAAAAATGTGAGCGCGTCCAATGGAATCGTTGTCTATTAAAATGTATATCTCACCCCATATCTCGAGACGCATATCAAATTGTCTTTTATTGGCGAGATGCGCACCCCCAACATATCTGCGCATGACCACGCGTGCCCGACCACCTGCAGGTCCTCGCCGCCGTGTACAAGGCTCTGTCGGACCACCACGTTTACCTGGAGGGCACGCTGCTCAAGCCCAACATGGTCACCGCCGGACACGCCTGCCCCAGCAAGTACAGCGGCGAGGAGATCGCCATGGCAACCGTCACCGCCCTGCGGCGCACCGTGCCACCCGCCGTCACCGGTGAGGACGCGGCGGACTTTTGCATCATTGCCGGCGCGGAGGTCTTGCCGCTCACTATTTGTCGTCGGTCCTTTTTTTTTTTAGGCGTCACCTTCCTGTCGGGCGGCCAGTCCGAGGAGGAGGCCAGTGTCAACCTCAACGCCATCAATACCTGCCCCCTGGCCAAGCCCTGGGCGCTCACCTTCTCCTACGGCCGCGCCCTGCAGGCCTCGGCCCTTCAGGCATGGAAAGGGGAACTCAGCAACGAGAAGGCCGCCACCGAGGAATTCATCAAGCGTGCCGAGGTGGATGACGTTCTCAGAATGGGGCAGCTCACAAAAACTTGAGCTGTGTAAATGAAATGAAACTCCCCAAGTGTGTTTCCAGGCCCGCCAAAGCCACCGATCCAAACACTGGCTGTCAAATTGGGACTTTTTATGAAATCCCTTGACCGGCTCTTTTGACGCATGTCATTTCTTGTTTTTCAGGCTAACGGCTTGGCCGCCCTGGGCAAGTACGAGACCTCCGGCAGCGGCGGTGCGGCAGGACAGTCCCTCTACGTGGCCAATCACGCCTACTAAAAAGGAATCACGTGACCTAGTTAGACTTATATCTGCTCTGCTATTAAAACCTGAAACCCTTCCTCCCCACGCACTTCCTCCATTCATGCATCACTGGCCTGCGCTGTCGACTGAACTTCATCACAGTGATTAAAACTTTAGGTGTTTAAAAGCAAAGGAGCACACCGAAAGGGAGCTGTTGTATTTTTATGATCGAACAAATCAAAACAGTTGAAAATATTTTGGGTGGAAAGGACCCCAAAAAAAAAAAAACTAAAAAGAAATAGGCTTTTGTCTCCTTGTTTGGGATGCGTGTGAGACTCAACAAGGTGACATTGAGGAGGTCTGAAAAGACACAAGGGACTCCACTTACAAGCCGCCACTAACCAATCAACTTTGTGTGTGTGTGCGTGTGTGTCCATGTTCGCTTTAAATTACACAGATTTAATGTATACGGTTGTGCGACGCTGTCAATATTGTGTGACATTCCTCTACCCCCAGGATTGGAAAGAGGTTCATTATGATGATTTGCTTCTGGGGAGTCACTCACTGCTGTATTGGATCAACTGTGACGTTTGTGTTGTTAATAATGTTCTTGAAGCACTGGCTGTGTCAAATAGTGAAAACAAATAAACTATATTAAACAAAAAGTCGAGGTATGTCTGCGTGTATTTTTCTTGTCGTCTTCATTATATATTTTTTACACGTTGCTGCAACTTTGTACGGTAGAAGGCAAGTTATTCAACTGAGTAATTGTTTAATTTTAAAGTGACTGTCCTGTTTTGTAAGTGAAATGGGTGGACCTATTACTTCAGAATGTAGGTGGTGTACTATAAAAATGCTGTCAATGCATTGCATTGCAATGCAAAGTAGTTTTTCTAAGAACCATAAAACAACTGAAAATGCCAGTCAAGCCAATAATTATTTAAAAAAAAATACAAAACATTTTTGTTCATTTGTGCTCAAGTAAAATGTGTACCAGTCCTAGTAATTTAAATTATTAAAGCCACCGTCTTACATGAAGATTTAAAAAAATCTCCCAAGTGTGTGTGAGGGTTTATTTATTTATATATATATATATATATATTTTTTTTTTAATATGCCTTCAAGAAACGGGCAGTCTTTGGCCGTAAATTGTCGTGTGCTGTCGTCAATCCGCTTGGCTCAGTGACGTCTCAAAAATGATCACGTGATGCGTGACGTCAATGTCCCGTTTCAATAGCAGAAATGGCCACCGCGGAAGTGGGTGAGTACTTGCAGAGTAGTGCTCGATTTTTCCTTTCCATTTACTTTCTGTTGGTGACTATAACTACCTGTGGTGGTCGCGTCCTAATGAAATCTTTGCTTGGCTACTGTTAGCCCAGCAGTGAAGGGAAACGTATGAAACCAAAAGCTATCTTTTTTCTAATGTCACATTCTACATTCAATAACTTGCTGGAGGTAGGACTGGGTAACATGACTTTAAAATAAAATCTGCGGTTGTTTTCATGGAAATCCCATTCCGAATTTTAACAGATGATTTCCCCTTCAATAAACCATCAAGTAATTGACAATTTCATTGTTGAAAAGAAGCTTTATTCCTTTTTTTTTCCTCCCTATATGCGATTTTCTTTATTGCTTAAACTTGGACAGAATATAATCGAAATATATTCCCCTATTTTTTTCAACACTGACCATGTCGTTGTAAACCAGCTCCACTCTTGGTTGTTAATTGGGAGCAGTGCATACACGTGAGGATACGCTTTAGAATGGCTGTAGAAAGCCACTGTTGTCATAGTTGATTATGTAACATGGGTTCATGTAATGTCTCTGCTGGATGCAGAGCGTTGATGCTGAATGATCTTCAGTTGAAGTGCTTTGCTGCCATTTTGCAATTAGGGCTAACTTGCTGATAATATCGAGTTAGCTTTCTTTCAACAATCCTCAAAATGTAGTCATAAAACGACACGTTCATTTTTCAGAGAGGAGGCGCGCGCGGCTCGCCACCATGTCTATCGCGGCCGTTGTCATCCTCGTGGGAATCCCCCTGTGGTGGCGGACCACTACCACGTACCGCGCCTGGTTGCCCGTGACTCAAATTCAAGAACTGGCGAAGCTGCAGGTCATCATTTGTGCTCCGCTTGCACCTCTTCCTCTGCCTCGTTTCCGCCTTTTAAAACGTGCCTCCTTCTTCTTCTCCTTGTACGCGGTCGCAGCTTCTTCTGAGTGCTGACGTGGAGGTGGTGTTTGCACGCGGGACGCTGACACCGGAACAGCAGAAGAAGATCACCGTGACACACACGCAGGATGAGGACCACGACATTAACGGTAAGTTACTACGGTGCGTCTTCGGCAGACGTTCCGAAGGCAATTAGGTGGTTTCACTGTCTGCACAAACTGCTGCTAAATTTCTGCTCGATCAAATTCCAAACTTGCGGCACCACTTAAAAGTGTCGGCAAAGTGTTGTTTCATGTTTTCATTATATTCCAGGAGAGACTTCTTTAACTTACAGATATGAGACACGTTATCGCACAGCAACAATCATGGAGGAGGACGCCTTGAGCCAGCCTAGTGCTGTGGGTCAGTTTCACAGTTTACTCGCCTCACTCGCTTGCGTCGGGTGCTCTTTGGATTTTAACATATTGTCCGATCCTTTTGTGTCTCCTCTCGCTGTAGCGACCGATCTTTCCCTGCATACGCTCAGCGAGAGTCCGTGTGGCTCGTTGGTGGTCTACGTAATCCCAGAATCTTCTTCGCTCCTGCCTCAGGTTCAAACTTGCGTATATATGACCTGATGATAGTGGTCGCGTTGATCTCTTGGATTCATTTCAGACAATGAATGATTGGAGTCATATAGCACCAAGAACAAGTACGACATTTTCGAGAAGAAAATAATCGGTCAATTGACACGATTCCCTGCCGCTAACAGGACGTGGACGTGTACGTCGGCCAGCGGCGGACGGCCTTGCTGCGCGTGGCGGCTGAGACGAAGGCGGCCAAGACGCTGGACCAAGTGCTGGCCGCCGTCGAGCCGCGGGTGAAGGAGGTGCTGCAGGTGATGTCGTTCAGCCACCACGACATCACGGCCGCCCTCGGCGACAGAGTGCGACTGAGCCCCGGAAGCCCGCAACGCAAAGCTGACAGCATGAGATCATTCAAGTCCAGTCCGGGTTAGGAGCACTGCACCCTTTATACACGCAGCCCATATAAAAAAAAATAAAAATCACATTGACTGAATTCCTGGGTCATGTGATGTTTGCCATCACGTTGTTGCTCGGCGAAACTCACGGGGCACAATGTTTACTGTTTGCCACCTGTCTTATAGGTTACGAGATCACCTTCAGCCTGCTGAATCCCGACCCCAAGTGGCACCGACTGCATTGGGACATAGAGGGCGCCGTGCGCACCTACGTCCAACCGCTGCTCTCCAAGCTAAGCCCCGTGGCGAACTTTAGCGTCGACTCGCAGGTGACCGACATGTTTGGTAGAATCAAGGATCACTTATTTTTATAATTTTATATAATTTCATGAATTGAACGTTTGTGTTTTAAATTTAGCATTGTATGTAATAATCAAAACACTTGTCAATGGACCGCAATCATATGTTTCTGGTTATGACTTTCTAATGCGCAGATGCTGCACTACACCATGCTGGGCGTCAACGCCCAATTTGACGCCAGCCACGACGCATACACGCTAAGCGTAGAGAGCCTCGCGCACGTCATCAACCCCGTGGAGGCTCGACTGGGTAACTCAACGACCGGTCACTTGCCAGGCATCCGATTTTTCCTTCCGAATGCGTCAAAATGACCGTTGCGGTTCCTTCTGTTGATTTCTTCTGCGGCCAGGCTCTAACGCCGCCTCATCCAACGCGCTGCTCAACTTCCTGCTGTACGTGCCCGACCCCCAACACTCGCCGCTCCGCATCCTCGATCACCAGAAGCGACAGGTCGCCTCCAACGCCTTTCACTCGCCGCGATGGGGCGGAATCATGGTGAGAGATGACTTGCGGTGGCAACGTTGACAGCCGGCTGGGACCTTTATATAAATATACACTGACTCCACTCTATGCATTTTCTTTACTTGAATTTTGGACTTTTCACCTCAAGTAATTTTTTTCTTGAAATTTTTCAACTTGCCTGCATCTAAAAAGTTGTACCGTTTTTATTTTTTTTTTTCAAAAACTATATTGTTTTTTTTTTTAATCCAAGTTATTTCCCACTATTCGGTTTTTGCAAAAAAAAAAAAAAAAAAAAGCTCTGCTTTTTGAGAAATACTTGACTTTTTTCATCTGTATTTTGAAAGTATGCAAACTTTGAAAACAGACTTTTTTTTTCTCCCATATGTCAAACTTTGTCACTCCACAATGTCGTGTGCAGTGATTCATATCGGTCTGTTTTCCGAGGTTTACAACGTGAATGGCTTCTATGAAGCGAATGGAGAGGCTGTCGACGTCAACATCAACATGGCCGAAGTGATGGGCGTCTTCCTCGCACAGCTACGGTACCATCTCGCATCGTAAAAAGAATGACTTTGTGTTTTTCTGTAACATCATTCGATAAATCTCCTCCCCAAACAGTCTGTTGCTGGGCGTGCATCCCTCGGCGCCTCGAGCCGGATTTTTGGTGGCGCCGCCCGGCAGCTCGGGCCTGTCGGACTGGGAGCTGGACCGCCTCATGTGGAGTCGCAGCGTGGAGAATGTTGCCACGGCGACCACCACCATCACGTCCCTGGCACAGCTGCTGGACCAGATCGACAACATCGTCATCAACGACAACATCGCACAGCAGGTCGGACTCTAGCGCGTTGGTCGTACATGTGAATTTTCGAGAGGACAGTCCTTTTTCAGAGAAAAAAAATGTTGACCAAAAAAAGTCCACAAAAAAAGGGAAAGAAAGGCGAAAGATATTATGCATTATAGTCACTTCACTATTTTTTTAAGCAGGTATTTTGGAGGGAAATAAATGAAGATTTGTTTTTTTTTTTAAAGAAAAGCTTTTGAGACAAGTTTGGGGACCTTTTTGATTTAAAAAAAAAGTTTTATATTTTTGAGAAAATTTATTTTCAATTTTCTTTTTTCTTTTTATTTTTTTTACTTAAAAAATATGACTGTTGACTGTATAAAGTTTTTCTAAAAAACACAGCATTACTCACATAAGACTGCAATATTTTCTCCAGCATATCTGGATTTTTTTTTTCTTCTGGAAAAGAAACACCAAATTTTCGAGAAAAAAAAGAAAATCCAACTTTCTTGGTCTGTGTTTCGCGCAGGTGTCGAGCGCGATTGCTTCGCTGCAGCTGGCTACGGCCGAGCTGGAGTCGGGCAACCTGGCCTTCGCCCTGCAGTACAGCAAAGAAGCCATCCTGGCGTCTGAGCGGGCCTTCTTCGACCCATCGCTGCTGCACCTGCTCTACTTCCCCAACGACCAGAAGTTTGCCATCTACATCCCGCTCTTCGTGCCCATTTGCGTTCCCCTCGTGCTGGCGCTGCTCCAAATTATGTCGGAGGTGCACCAGAGGCGCAGGGACAAGCAGGCCAAGAAGGACTAAAGCGGTGAGAATTGCTACCTTTTTAGTTGATCCCCCCCCCCATGCAAAAATTAAAAAAAAACAAAAACAAAAAAAAAAAACAAAAACAAAACTGCAGGTACTGTACATGCATTTTAAAGGGCAACAAAGCATTGTGTTATTTTCTGCATCAGGGATTTGAAGTAATTTTAAGGAGTGCCCATTGCGACTGTTCAACACTACTACTGGACTACTAAACAATGTTTTTTATATTTGAAGTTATTGAAAAAGTAAAAAAAACAAACCTTTCACGCCCTTATTTTATTTGTATTTATTTTATACAAGGTGACATGAGAGATGAGTTTAGTTCATCACAGTTGTGTCATAAATCATCTTGCTCCATCGAAATGAATTGAAATGCCAAGAATGTGTTCTGTTGCACCCTAGCGGGGTGAAAAAAAGAGAACTAATCTAAAAAAAACAAAAATAAATGTTTGTAATGTGTTTTAATAAGAAATGTTGTGGACACTTTAGTTTGAAGTGGAAACCTTTGAGTCATTTCTCGATTTTACATTTCAGAGAATTCAGCCTACATTCCGGCCGACCAAAAAGATTTGCGAAACTATACCATAAAAGGAACATGACGTCTGCCATTTTTGTTTGAACGAGCCATTTTATGGTCATTTTGTCCATTTCCGGGGGTTCTTCACAGCGAAAATCCTCATAACACCTTTATTTGTTCTTATTGTCGGAATGACATCTGTCCACCTCAGAATCTTTTCGCTTCTCCCGCCACTGTTTGTACCGCATCCGGGTTTTCTTGTATCCGAACCTGCCGATGTCCACCATGAAGACCCACGCCAGCCCGTACATAACTACGCCGCCCAGCTTCATCACCACAGTGGTCCTAGGCGAGGTCAGCTCGCAGTAGAACATGGCGGCGCCCACGCCCACCCGCACGGTGGCGAAGAGGAAGATGAAAAGCAGGTCGACGGCGTCGCCCAACAGGCTGTCGTAGCGCCCCAGCCGCCGCAGGAACCAGCGGGCCTGCAGCAGAGGGTTGGTGAGCTCGCTGCCGAAGATGACGGCGCACGTCTCGCACGCCGACACGCCCGTCAGCAGCGCCAGCAGGATGCCGACGATGCTGGCCGCGTGGTGGCCCAGCATGACGGCGCCCTCGCTGCCGAAGCGTACGCACCAGGCCATGTCGAACAGGAAGTAGCCCAGGCAGACGCACAGCGCGGACGTCTGCAGAGCCGTGTTCTCACTGCCTGGGAATGACACATTTATATGTAATAAAGACTCATAATTCAGCTAAATAAATGCATCTAACACATCTCAGTCCGTGTAGTGGCACTTGAATTTCTGCATAGCAACAAGTGGCCTCTTGAAAAAGTTAATTCTACCTGGCAACAAGAGTCCATGCAAGGAAAACTAAATTCTGCCTGCCAACAAGTGACCATACAATGAAAAATAAAATCTACCCAGCAACAAGTCGTAGAACAAATGGCCTTTCAGATCGATTTGTGACTTCTACTTATTGATAAACTGAATACAAAAAAATGCATTACTATGATTTAAAAAAAAAAAAAAAAAAAGTCAAACGCGGACTGACCTGCGTGTGTGAGGGGCCAGGGTCCGTCCACAAAGACCACGTATGCCGTCAACATCACAATGGCGACGCCGTGCGTCAGCGTGACGAGTCGACAGTTCCACTCGGGCCCGCGCTGAGGCGAAATCCGACACAGCAACGCGTAGAGACCCGACCAGACCGCCAGGCTGCACAGAACCTCCAGCAGCGCCGCGCCCGCCCCCGCCATCATCAACGCACTGAAATGGTCACGGATTTCACTCTTATCTTGCCTGGTTCATTGCAACATTATGGCAAAACCCCAAAAAAGGTCACACTCAAAGTGTGCTACACAGGCTCCCTCTAGTGGTATCTGAAAGAATCACTGCCCAAGTACAGTTCAGTTGTATTTAGCTTGAAAGGTCTCGAGAGAAATATTCCAACAGTTGACCGCACACAACGCACACGCCAGGGACTGACATGCAGTTTGATTTGTAACATTGAAGGTAATTATTGATCAACTTAAAAGGTTCTTACCATGACACCAACAGTTAGTTTCCATCATGGCATCAGAATGCTTGAAGATGATCATATTTCTGACAGGAAGGACCTCCGCGCACCTCCTCACTCGCCTTCTTCCAAAGGTAATCCTCTTAAAGGATTACTGTCTCTGTCTGCTTGCCGACTCGCATGATACGTGCAGCCCAGCTCAGATGAGATGCCCCCCCCACCCCCCTCAGATCTGACTACCTCCTACCCCTTCCACCTGGGCCCCCTACTCTAATTTATTTTAGATAACACATAGACAAACAACAGTTCACAAATCAAACGTATGGACAATTTCGAGTGTTGCACTAATTAATGTTTTTGGAATGTGGGAGGAAACTGGAGTACCTGGAGAAAACCCACCGTACCGCCTATAATTTACTAATCCTAATTTAATACTTTATCTCATTTTTACTATAATATAAATATTCTCCATTTTTATTTGACATATTTCAAAATTAAGAGTGTACATAGAGTGTATGTACAAAAAAGGACATTTTTGAACTCAAATATTTAATTATGCTTTAATTTTTATTGAATAATATTAATTACTGTGGACCAGCACTGAATTAAAAAAATATTTGCAAATGTAGAATTTGTTGCATGAATTCATTGTGTAATTTCGTAGTAAAACGTTAGGAGGCGTACAAGTGCGCCTCTGTCTACCACGAGTCAATGACAGAGCGGACGAAGAAGAACGTAGAGCGGAAGTAAAAACATTTTCTTTCCGCGTTGAAGATGCCGGTGTATAAACACACGAGAATGACACTTGGAACCTTTTATCTCTAAACGTTTTCCTTTCTCGCTGAAACACACGAACGGTGGAAGGTAGGTTTATCGCGTTTCGTGTGCGAATATTTGTGTCAAAGAAACACATGTACGTATTACTCTGCTGTCTGCTAGCATGCTAGCAGCACGACATTTAAAGTCCTTTCAGGTCTTTGTGTTTGTATGAATGTGATTTTATATTGTGTAGACTATGTGTGACTTCGGGAGTATGTGTACATGTTTTTTTTTTTTTTTTAATCAATGAGTATTTTTTTTAAATCATGTCATTTTTTAATGTGTTTTTAAATGATTAAATATAAAGTAGGTCTCATTGCCTCAGACCATTGTTGTTGTTAATTGATGTATTGCAGTTCAGCATTATGTCCCTTCCACGTGCTCGACGGCGCCTCCTCTCCGCACTCCAAGTCCCCTGTTGCGGCCACGCAGCGTTCAGCAGTGCCTCGAACCCGCGGGAGAAACCTGACGCCGGCGGTCCGGTCTTCCAGTACGTGGGCCAGCACAGGAAGCCCAGGCACAAAGTGTTCGTGTGGGGCTTCAGCTTCACGGGAGCCCTGGGCATTCCCAGCTTTGTGATTCCCGACAGCGGCAGGAAAAAGCCACGCAAGTACCAGCTCACGCCTTACCGTCTGGAGACCGAAGACCAGGTAGGAGCACATAAAGGCGTCCCGCCTCCAGCTGCAGTTGAGTAAATGATGACGTGATTTTTCTTAGATCTCCTCTGCCGCCTGCGGTTACGGCTTCACCCTCCTGGCGTCTTCCACCAAAGACGTCACCAAGCTGTGGGGCGCCGGCCTCAACAAGGACTCGCAGCTCGGCTTTCAGCGCACGCAGCGCAGCCGGCGTAAGATTTATGGCACAGTATTAATATTCCTCGTAGTAGTTGTAGTATTAGCGCAGGTATTCATTCTGTATTCATTGTACAATAATTTCAATAACTTTCAGTAATTTAATAATTTTTTTCTTAATTATGTATTTAAAATTGTGTAGAAGATATTCTTTCAAATGACATCATTTATTGTTACAAACTATACACAAAATTCCGTTTTAAAAATATTTGTCATAACGATATATTTTTTTCTCACTTTTCATTTTTCATGTTCTTTTAAGTAATAATTTCAATTTCTGATACGATGCTCAAAATGATTGTATTTATATTTCCTCTTTTATTTATTTTGGATTTGTGATATAATTTTTCTATTTGGTGTGTTATTGATTCGATTGTTAATTCAATTGTTAAATTCGACTCGGAATCCCTCATATTGCGCCGATGACTAACAGCGTCATCCCATTTTGTGTGTGTTCAGATCACAGTTACGATTACGTGTTGGAGCCGTCGCCCGTACAGCTGCCTCTGCGTGAACCGCAGAAAACGCGCGTGATGCAGGTGTCATGCGGGCGCGCGCACACGCTCGTGCTCACCGATCGCGAGGGAGGTCAGTCACAAACCCTGTGTGGGAGGTTGAATCTTTATACGTATCATTTCAATGAAGAGTGATGACATTTTAAATGGAGTGACTGTCCCGCTTGAATACTTTGTAAAACTGTGCTTTTAAATGATCTCTAATTGGGTTAATGTGTCCCCCCGTTTGTCTTTCACGTGACATGCGTTCCTCTCAGTGTTCAGTATGGGCAACAACGCTTACGGCCAGTGTGGGCGACATATCGTGGAAGACGAAGTGTACGGGTATGTCGTTGTTCTCGTCGCTAACGCCGGCCGCGTTTCCAAGCTGACGTTTGGTCGTGCCTTGACAGCGGCAGTCACGCGATCCACAAAATGGAGGGCGTGGATGGCCGCGTGGTGCAGGTGGCGTGCGGACAGGACCACAGTCTCTTGCTGACGGAGGCGGGGCGGGTCTACGCCTGTGGGTGGGGAGCGGACGGACAGACGGGTCTGTTTGTCTAATATCGAGATATATATCTGTCCAGGTTATTGCACATTGTCTCATATTGAGAACTCTCAAGATATTTGGTGCTTGCAGGTCTGGGGCACCACAAGGTGTGCCCCACCCCGACCGAGGTGCTGGGGGAGCTGTCGGGGGTGAAGGTCCAGCAGGTCAGCACATACGCAGACTGCAGCCTGGCCGTGTCCGCCGACGGACAGCTGTACGGGTGGGGAAACTCTGAATACCTTCAGCTGGCCTCCGTCACGGACACCACCCAGGTGAGCGCGACCAGATTGTAGGGAATCTTTTTTTTTTTTTTTTTTAATAATGTTCGTGACTTGTTGCTGCCGTATTTTAGGGAATCTTTTTTTTTTTTTTTTTAATAATGTTCGTGACTTGTTGCTAGGCAAAGTTTGACGGTTGCACCTTTGCTTTCTAGATCAACTCCCCTCGTCGGTTGTCCCTGCCAGGCTGCGGTCGGGTGGTGCAGGCTGCATGCGGAGGCACACAGGTGGCTGTCCTCAATGGTTAGTCTGTCCAAACTAAAACAGATATTTGGAAAAAAAATGCGTCCTTTTTTTTTCCCCCTCACACACACTTCTCAACTAACTCCAAGTCTTGACATTCTCTATTTCATCGATTGAATTCACTTCACCACATTTCGGTTCAGCATCTTCAGTATCCGCACGCAATTTCTCCACCAATTGCATTTTGCTGTTTTTGCAAACCTTATTTGCCATTTTTTTTGGTTTGTTTGTTTCAGAGCGAGGCGAAGTGTTTGTATGGGGCTACGGAATTCTGGGCAAAGGCCCCTCGCTATCAGAGTCTGGCTCCCCCGAGATGATCCCCCCGTCCCTGTTCGGACGCTCTGACTTCAACCCCTCCGTCGTTGTCAGCAAGCTCCGATGTGGCCTCGGTCACTTCGCCGCTGTCACGGGTAAATTGTCGGCTTCCTACGATGTGACGCCGCAACCTGGGGTAAACGACTCGCTTGATGCTTTTTGGGTGATTGCAGATCGTGGCGAACTCTTCGTGTGGGGGAAGAACCTCCGAGGGTGTTTGGGTATCGGGAAGAGGGACGATCAGTTCTTCCCGTGGCGAGTAAGGGAGACGCCGGGGGACAGTGGGGGCATGAAGTTCACAATTAGTAAATACATAAATAAATTAAAAAAAACAAAACAAAAAAAAAACCCTTTTTGTGTGCAATAAATCAAATAATGATAATAATAAAGAGTTTAATTCGCAATCCCAAAATAATTCATGCTCATTTTTCATGGGATCGTTCGTGACCCCTACATTTATACTTCGTAACCGGTGTTTTAATTTAATAAAACATATTACATGTATTTGGAAAAAACACACTAAAATTAACACACAAAATAAAGATGACACATTTTAGTAAGAAAAAAAAAACTGCACAGAATAATGATGTTTCATGGAAGTGTCTGTGTTGTGTCCAGGTGACTGTTCCCGGTCAAGTGGTGGATGTAGCGTGTGGTGTCGACCACATGGTGGCGCTCGTCAAGTCCCTCCTCTGAGTTGGAATGCAAGAGCGCCTTCAAGCTAGCTGTGGGGTGGGCCGACCAAAATCCACTGAGGTGGGACTTGGGGGGACGGGTCCAACATGAAAAAGAACTCTTATGAACACTTGAAGCACCATCGGACGTTTGGAAAGTAAACCCCCTATTTTAAAAAAAATTGTTATT